GAACTTCTCTACTCCAAAATAATTGCCAATATTTTAATGATTTATATTGGAAAAACAAGCCATATTAATAGCAAAAAAGGATGAATTACTTAGAGATTTAAAAACTCTATTAATCATAAATTCAATAGGCATTTGTATTTACTAATAAAACACATGAAGCAAACATAAAAGATTCAAGAGGAGAAACAGAAAAATCCAAACTCTACTTGTAGATATAATATACTTCTCTCAACTGACAGATGAAGCAAAAAATATATATATAAGAGGAAACAGATTTAAACAAGGTTAATCAAATGAACCTGACACATAAAAATACTACCCAATAATTGCAGAATACTTATTAGGCTCAAATACACATGAAATAATTACCAAAATATATGATATCCACTGTCATAAAGGAAGTCTCAACAAATGGTAAAAAACAAAAAAATATATAATGTATGTTCTTTATTAGCTGCAGATTTTGAAAAAAATTATATAAAGGAAAAGAGCTGGGAAATAGACATTTGCTTAAAATTAAAGAGCAGCAAGAACAACAGACTGGATAATAGTATCATGAGTTTGATTTGATAATCATATTGTGCGCATCAAAGAAATGTCCTTGATTTTAGAAAATGCTCATGAAAGCAAGTGACTCTTAACCCAAAAAAAAGTTGTATTATATATGTATGTTATACATACAGACAAATGTGCATGTATACACAGAGAAACAGCAACTGACAGCAAGAGTTAGGGATAGAAAAATTAAAGAAATAATAGATACAGAAAGTTTATTCTGTGGAGAATCTGCACAAAAGGTATATATGTAGAACCTTTGTACTATTTTTTTTTAAAGATTTATTTATTTATACAAGCACTGGGTACAGTCAGAAGTGCGGGAGGGTGAGAATTCACCAGAGCCAGAGCGGGGAGCAGAGCAGGCAGAAGGACCGAAGTACACTGCTGAGGGAGCAGCGGGAGGCAGGAGAGGTCTGAGCGCCATGTGGGACCCTCCTCCGGTGGCCTGGGAGCAGCCGGGGATCAAACCTGGCAGCTTCACAACCCAGCGCTCAACCGCTGCGCCACCGGGGAGGCCCCCTTTGTACTATTTTTGTAACTTTTCTGTAACCTGAAATTATGTCAAAATGAAAAGCTAAAAGAAAAATGTCACATAATCTAGAAAACCAGGCTTTATAAATGCAAAAAGCAAAGGTGAGAGATTGTTCAATAACTTAATAAAATATATATATTTTGCTGCTTTAATTAGCACTAAGAATGAAAACAATAGTCAGTGGTAGCAAGATTGTAGAGAACTTGGGATCTTCATACTTAGCTGTTGAGTAAATTGGTCCAGATCTTTTAGGAGAAACAACTTGGCAACACAGACTAAGAGCAAAAATATGTGCAGACTGCAGTGATTGTACTACTAGACTCTAAGGAAGTATTAAGCATTGAAAAGTCACTATCACAACTATAATCACTACACCTTATTTAAAATAATGCAAGTTGAGAAAATTCTGAACATAACATGGGATCATTTAAAAAAACAATCACAAAAATTATTTAGCCGCTAAAATAAATAGTCTATAAAGACTAAGTAAAACTGGAATGTGCTTATAAACAGACATAATAATATGATGAGAGTAAAATTATGTGAACAGAACAACTATAAGCTAATACACACGGGGAAAAAATTCACAACACGTATGAGTATATAAAGGATGACAGCATTGGTTTTCCCTTTTATCTTTCAAAATGTTAGTAACTAGCACAATTTATACCAAGGAACATGCAAATAAAAGAAAATAAACTTAAGTTATTACTTTAACAATCCTGTCTGTTTACAAAATGCATCTAGAAATAATTCAGAGAGACATGAGGAGAAAAAGCCATGATAAAGTAATTTATACAAATAAATTTATTTTTTTTAATGTATAAGGTACACATATGATTGAGGAAGTTGCGCGAGTTCAGTAGGGGGAAGATCACAAAGGAAAGGATACATCAAAAATATTCATATGGAAAGCATGAAGATCCGTTCATCTTTCCTTAAAGAACAAGTACAACATTCTATACAAATGAGAGGATTGTGACAAAGAATTTTAAAGTTCAAGAGCATGTCACAGTAATGAGGTATAATAAAGGACAGGAAGAGTCTTACAGGTTTCTCTCTCGTCCAACACTCACTGAAGTCTCATTCGTTTTTCAGGAGGGCCTTTAGTGCTCACTGTCTGTTGGACATTCTTGGTGGCCTCCTTCTCCTCAGATTTTACAGTTTCTGGTATAGGTTCGGCTTCTTTCTTTGTCTGATCCACTTGACATCAAAAGCAGATATTGTTTGGAGTTGGCGGTGGAGGAATGACCAATGTAGACAACAATTAATGTGAATGGTTCTGATTCTCAAATTTAGTTAGAACTGCTTGTCTCAAGTTCTAATTTATCTGTTTCAGGCCAATGTATAAGAATCTACTTATAAACCTAAAAACCTGATTATCCATGCAAATCTGACACTACACAAAACACATGGCATTTAAATAAGCCATTATATACAAACAAGACATGTAATTATTCTGTACCAGTTCAACAGTTTAATACCTATTTTCAATAGTGTAACAGACCTTTTCACACTGATATCTGAACTAAAAACAACCTCAAATCATCTCATTTTCTCCTACCTTCTCAATGCCATTTCTTCCTAATTCATGTTTTTAATAATAATACACTATTATAAAAGCATCATTCTTGACAATTTAGCATATCTGGGAGAGAGAGGTAAGGGGTAACAAACTACAATGAAAGTCTCAAAGGACAAAATGCCCATAACTCATCTCGATGCTACAGTTTCTACCGTGTTAAGTAATTTATTTATTTGGTTTTCTTTCAAGTTTAGTAAGAATATCAGAGGAACCATACCTGGGACAGGCTTTTCTCCAGACTTTTGCTGTAATTTAAATTTAAAAAGTGGGGAGACGGGGGAGAAGAAACAAGACAGGTTAGCAAGTTTTCTTCCTTCTTGAGTCCATAATTCTAATTAAAATTACACCTTCATTCAAATTACACTTAATACAAATTATAAATGACTTCATGAAAAGGAACTACTATTCCTGTACCATTATAAAGTTATCATTTGCACTCCAGAAAAGACACAAATCTAAAACTAGAACAAAAGAGTCAAACATTGAAAACCCTTGAGCTTCTACAAAGCCCTCTGCCTCTGTACCTGAGCTACACTGCTTTACAAAAAGTAAAGTAAAATCAAATGGGAGAGAATAATGGAGACTTTTAAGATTCTAGAGGCACATTTGTTTAGGGAATATGAGCTATAAGAACGTATAACCAAGTTTAGATGAATCCTCAACTTTTAAAGTTGTAACGTGTGGGATGTAAAGAAACGAAGTATTCTGCTGTGAATATAAGGTTTCTAGTGAGTAAAATTATACTACAGGAAAAAATGGGGAGATTAGCAGTCAGGAACAAGGTGAGATCCTCCATTCTCTACACCCAATCTTTCACTTGGTTGGACCCTACTGTCTCATTCCAAACTTAAATGCTTTAAAACACGTGTTCTCTCCTCCTCTCCCAAGGTTTATAACCTGCTCCTGATCTTCAGCCAATGACTTATCCTCCATGTTAAAAAAAAAAACCCAAGTTCCCATTCATCTACCTCCCTCCAAATTTATACCTTTACAAACACACACACACCTTATTCCCTGTCATCTCAGAAGAAAAGCGCTCTCCCACCCCCAGACCCCATGTCTTCTTGTCTATTGCTATGACTAAAGACTACAAGATTTTGTTATCACCTGTTCCAGATTACTGCTGCCAACTGCCTACTAGCCCACTCCAATCTCAAGTTCTAGGAACCATTACATTTAATAATAAAAAAATACTATTCTCGGGCCTCCCTGGTGCTCAGGAGGTTAAACACCGCACTCTGAAGCAATCCACAGCCTCTGCAGCACAAGTTCAATCCCTGGGCCAGCCAGGGAGCAACCCACATGGCGGCGCAGCAGAGACCTCTCCTGTCTCGCCCGCTGCTCCCCTCAGCAATGTGTTTCGGTCAATCTGCCGATTCAGTTCCCCACTCTGTCTCTAGTGAGTCCTCTCACCCCCTGCACCTCTGGCCTGTACCCCAGTTCTTGTATGCATAAATAAATAAATCTTTAAAAAACAAAACAAAACATACTATTCTCTATTGTGCAGAAAAGGTTAACACAGGAGGTCTGACACTGCTATCCTTAGAAAGGTCAGTCTGCAAAACTGGTCACTGGCTACAGACTAGTACTTGGATTCTGGGAGGGTTTCCACTACTCCCTTAGCAGGTAATGGAGGCTCGCTGTGCCTAGATTACTTGTACAAATAATGCCGTTTATGCTGACTGTCTGCTTTTCTTTAGGGAATGTGGAAAATGGGCATATGCTAGATAAAGGGTACCACCGTGATGAACCCTCCTATGCCCCCAAAACATATGAGCACCATAAGTCATTAAAGGACTTCCTTGGGCAGAAATTTCACATGCATATTGCTGCATTTTTATTGCTGAGAAAAAAGAGCCTTGTGTGAGCCCTCATGGCAAGGTATGAGTGTAAGTCTGTACATGGATTCCCTCTTGCCTCCTCGTGTGTCTTCTCTCCTTCTACGGAGCTGTATATCCTTATTATGTCACTAATAAATCCTGCCAATCCTTCAAGCAAATCCCAGTACAGTGGGAGGCATGGGAACCCTAAACATAGCCACATTAACACATATTTTATGAATAAATTAGGACTTAAACATGTGTAAAAGTAATTTAGGAAAATAAATTTTTCTTTTAAAACAATGGTAGAACACTGATGAAGTAAAAAATTGAGAGGAACTATTCTCATGTGTTTAACACTAACCATTTGAACTATATTGGCAAAGGAACTGTATATGGACATTGGATAATGTCATTACCTACTGATGCTTACTGTCTCATCCTTTTTAGTGAATAATGCCAGACAATCTAGCAGGATGTGGCTTGAGATGGGAAAAAAAATGATGGCACCGTTCTGACAAAATGTAGTCAGGTAGTCTTGGGATAAGCCTAGCAGAAATGATATCCTATAATGTTCTAGTAACTTCTGAAAATAGCCCAGCAAAGACATTCATCATAAAATGTTCTGAGGGCCTGAATTTCCATCACATTAGTATTAGTGTAACTTTCAGTAATAACAAGAATTAAAACATGAAAAAGGAGCTTCAAACAAGCAGGCAGAAGTCGCAAGCTACAAATGATTCTGGCAGACACAATGGGTAAACAAGGAGTTCACAGGAGATTTCAGATCTATTTTTTTCCCTTGATCTGAGAGAAACACTATGAGTACAAGGAACAAAGTACTATTAACAGTTCTAAAGAAAGTCATCCTTCCCTAGTTGAGTTACACATAGTTTGATGTACTCTATCTTTAGAAATTAGTTTTTGGACCTTGTATGACTAAAAGAAAGTGCACTTTTAGAAAATAACAAGCATGACTACGCTAAGCCTTCAAAAGAAAAATCTAAAATTCTCAAGGAAATAATATGAAGTCTGCAACCTGCTTCAAAATAATTGTGAAGAAGGGGGAGAAGATATAAAACAAGATTGGCCATGTATGATAATTGTGGAAGCAAGACAATGGTCCATGAGGGTTTCACTTTAAATTATTTGCTCTGTTTTTACTTTTGGTATGTTTTTAAATTCCCATAATGTTCTATAAGACAAAGATTTTGTTTTGTTTTATTAAGATACATTGTCCAGTTTAGTTCACCAGTACAGGACAGCAAATGTGATTCAAGGCAGGAGCCCTTGTCAGAAAAAAAAGGAGTAGTCATTCAGCAGGACTACCTCACAACCCAACAGAATGTAAACTACTGAATGTTCTGGAGGAGGTTGGTCAATAAAATAGAACCCTTAGCAATTTTATATATATATATATATATATATATATATATATATATATATATATATATATAACACAAGCCTTTTCTTTTCCTATATTCTAAACTTTGGTGAGCCAGCAAAACCAAGTCTAATTAATTCTGGACCTGCACTAGTTTATTTCAAATGCCCAAGTCACATGTGTCTAAAGACTACTGAACTGTGCTAGTCTAGGTGTCCTTCAACCAGTTTACCTAGTGGTAAATATTGTGTACTCAATGACTGTATGGCCAACGACACCTAACCTCTTATACCTTATAGTGGTTATGTACACCCTACACACAGCTAAAAGTCATTAACTCATTTATTCAATAAACACTATTTCATCTTTCAGTGCAATTTATGAGATTTTTTTTTTTTCTAAACTGACTTTTTGTTCTGATTTCCAACAGTGTGCTCTGCTCTTCTCACCACCAAATCATCAGTCCAACAGCATGTGTCTCTTAGTGGAAGCAGGTAAGAGGGAAGGTGTGGCCTGTTTTACATTATCTCATGGTATGAAAAATCTCATTTAAACTAAATCTACCCCTGAAAGTCTCTGAAACAGGCCCCCAACAAGAAAAACAATGTATCTGACTGTTTTGACTGGACCTTTTGTGTCCACAGCCTTGCAAAGACCCATAAACAAGTCTAAACATATGTTCATATACCCCATCTCATACTTACTTCACTTCAAAAATTCACTTAGCAGAATAGCAGATGGGGGCCTCCCCGGTGGCGCAGCGGTTGAGCGCTGGGTTGCGAAGCTGCGCGCGGCCTCTGCGGCGCCGGTTCGATCCCCGGCTGCTCCCCGGCCACCAGAGGAGGGTCCCACATGGCGCGCAGACCTCTCCTGCCACCCGCTGCTCCCCTCAGCAGTGTACTTCGGTCCTTCTGCCTGCTCTGCTCCCCACTCTGGCTCTGGTGAATTCTCTCACCCTCCCACACTTCTGACTGTACCCAGTGCATGTATAAACAAAACAAACAAACAAACCAGCAAACAAATAAATAAAGCATGCCTCTAAAAAAAAAAAAAAAAAAAAAAAAAAAAAAGAATAGCAGATGGATTTGCTATTGCTCTTGGAACCACACTCCATAATAACATAGTGGAATTTGTATTACTTAAACACCAATCTTATATAACTATTTTCTATTACTCATATCCTCCACTTATGATGCCATATCCTATACCACAACTGCTCTATTCTTTTTGTCATAAATTTTTAACAAGGACCTAGACATGAGTTTGGATAGCAGCATACAGAATGAAAACAGCATGTATTTCACATTCTAGTTTTATTACCATCCATGACATGTCCGGTAACCCTTTAAATGAGAATATTATCTATATGCAGTTCTCATAATTCATGAAGATTCAATGAGGAATTAAACTTAAAAACACATTAATTACATTTCCTTTGCCCAATTCATTAAGTCCTTAAAAATCTTTCCTTTGATTCATAGTTCATTTTTTTAAAACTAATGAGGAAAATCAGTATTTTTAGATCACACTGTAGAGTTGTAAATTAAAAATAAAGTGTCAAATCAATTATTAACCACATTACCTGCACAAATTTGGGAGGAAATTTCTGTCTAAGGTCTAGGAGTAAAGCATCCACACGCTGTCTCTGGAAAATAGAGCTTGGTTCTTCTTTCCTTTTAGCTTTAGGTTTGACTTTCTCTATTAAAATACAAACCAAATTAAAGCTGTCTCTAATAGTAGGGGGTCTTATATTTTACAAATATTTGCCCTCCATAAATATACTCAAACTTCATTATTTTTAATGGCTGCTATTCAAAATATAATCTTCCCAAATAAATTAAATATAGCATAAGCATAGAAGTATTCTAACTTTCCCTGTTAAATGAAATTTATATTCTAACATTTAAAAAGCCAATGTCTTTTAAAGATATTTCAATTTTTACCATGTAAGCATGGACATAAATTTCAAAATTACCTAAGTCCCAATCCATATTATTGGTTTGAAATTGTCTTGTGCATACTATAAGTAAGTTAGTCTTTTCCCGAAATCTAATAGGTGTAAACGGAAATGTGATTTTCTTAAAACTCCAAGCTACCACACTTAGTAATGAAGACAAAAATTCACTGAAAAATAAAACAAGCCAAACAGAAGATCATGAAGACAGGAAAGAAAAGAACTTGCAAGGGAAATTCTTACATTAATCACATGTGAAACTTTCCCAGGAAGGAGGTGTATTGTGGAACTGTCTCTTAATGAAGGGTTCCAGTTTTACTCCAAACATTTCATTAGGGTGGGACAAACAGCACCTGGGAGAAGTCTAGTCAACTGATGCAAGCTTTCCTATGCCAAAGGTTGCTGCCTACAACTACTAAGAATAAATACAACTTGGGCCTCCCCGGTGGCGCAGCGGTTGAGCACTGGGTTGTGAAGCTGCCCGCAGCCTCTGCAGTGCAGGTTAGATCCTCGGCTGCTCCCTGGCCACTGGAGGAGGGTCCCACATGGCGTGCAGACCTCTCCTGCCGCCCGCTGCTCCCCTCAGCAGTGCACCTCGGTCCTTCTGCCTGCTCTGCTCCCCGCTCTGGCTCTGGTGAATTCTCTTACCCTCCCACGCTTCTGACTATACCCAGTGCTTGCATAAATCAATCAATCAATCAATCTTAAAAAAAAAAAAAAAGAATAAATATAACTACACCTGAAAGACCATTCATTCCAAAGGTCTGAATTCTATTTAAAGTTTGCATTCCTGCAGCAATTTATTCTGAGCTGCTATTTCTCAGCAAAGGAAATTCAGATGGCAGGCACACTAGTATAGATATATTTCCAGAAATACTTTTACTGATAAGTGAGGTACAAGACAAGGAATGGGTTAGCGGTTATAGAACCTAGAGAATGTACAATCAAGACAGGTAATTACATGGAAAGATCAGAAAACAGACTGGTTATCTGAAGATAAGGCTCTAACAGCACCTTTCCTACTTTTAATATTGGGGGGGATTTTAATATTGGGTTCAGATTACAAAATGACTGAAGATAGGTAAACAAGAAATATCATTACTCATTCCTCATCACTGATTTGCTCTGTATGGGAAATAGCTCTAATAGGAAAGCTATTATTACTACATCTAGTTACATGAGTTATAGTTGACAATGCCATTATCCCATGAAGAGTCTTCATATGGAGAAGTAAAATACACTCAGAAATCATCAAGTCTTTTTCTTAAAGAAAACAACACTCAGAAAGCCAAGGGATTTAAGAGGGTCTAGGGGTCCAACATACCTTGCTCTTCATGATCTTTGAAGTGCCACCAATACCCTTTGGAAGGATGGTATCGACAGTATGACATAGCTTCATCAAAAGCTGACTGAATGCCATGCACTGCAGTAAGCTTGTAAAAAGAAACAAATCGCGAATTTCTCATTAGTTCAACCAAAATTTCCAAAGTACTCACAAAATATTATATATGCAAGATAGTAATCTCATTTTTCAGAACCTAAATCAGTTGGAGCTGTAATATATACTTTTAACATGAAGATGGCCCAGAACAACCAGGGTTCAAGATATTTTAAGTTTATACTTTACACCAACTTAACCAAGGAGGGAAACTTCTATTTGATTCTTAGAAGCAAGATAACTCAATTATAAGCTTTCTTTAGTGTTTAAGGAATGTGAAGATACTTACCACTCTAGAGTTTATAACTGATCCCAAGTCTGGTGCCTGATAGATCACTCCAGCAATGATATAATAATCAGCCATCGGGATAACTAAGGCAGTTTTAGGGGGGAAAAATTGTTTATGAATATATGCAAACAAGCTGCTTAGCAGATTTCCATAAAAAGAACTAAAATTTGCCCTTTTCCATGTTAAAGCTTAAAGACACATTTTGGCAATTCCTGTTTTTATAAATAAAGTTGTATTAGAAGCCACACCCATTAATTTATATTATTACCTAGGGCTGCTGTAGCACTTGGTGAGCAGTTGTAACAGAGGCCATAAGGCCCACAAAGCCTATAGTTACTCTGGATATTCACAGAAAAAAACTGACAACTCCTACCCCAGAGGAGTGCTTCTCAAACTTTTAATGTGCATCTGAATCACCTGAATATCTTGCTAATATGGATTCACAAAATCTGAAGTGATCCAATGCTACTCTCAATCGTACTTAGGGGCAACCATACATTTGAGGAGATATTTGTTTAGGTTTTCTATTTCTTCATCCAGTTTTGGATGACTGCAGAGTTAAAGGAATTTGTCCATCTCTTCTAGATTGTTGAATTTGTTGGCCTATAAATGTTCATAGTAATCTCTGATTATCCTCCGGATTTCTGCTGTGTCTGTTGTCATTCTTCCTCCTTCATTTATATTCCTATTTCTTTGGGCAAAACCAACTTTTAGAACCCCAATTTTTTCAGCAAGTCATTCTCTGTACTCAATACTAGGGTGAAGATTGCCCCTAAATGTACTGTTGAAGGTATATAACTGGGAGATGCAGCTAGTGATCTCTGGAATATGTGACTAGCTCTTTCATTCAAGTCTGAATTCTATACAGTTCAATATGTTTCTAAAGTAAGTTTCTGTTTGGTAGTATAACCCAGTTAAGACTTTTGGTTGAATATATCCATTAGAACTTCCAACTGATCCTCTATGAATTTGGTGTAACTACATCTACTATATATTTCATAATAGAATTAGACTCAGTAGACTGAGATGAGAAGGAATATTACTCAGAATGCTCAAGATCCAGTTGGAACAGCTATGCTCAATAGGAAGAGGTGTCTTCAATATAGTGAGTTACTCTATCAGTGCTTAGAATTGCTGTTGGCATGCTGGAAGACTCCAGATGTCCAAGCAACAACCAGTGGAACTTGGCTTTTGAAACATTTCATAAATGATAGTTATGGCTAATATACCACCCTGCCTAGACAATTTGTACAAATGCTATGAATTTCCTAGAGATTTTGGAATTTCTTCAGGCAAAAGTGCCTACCTGATTAGCCTTAATAAAAATTCTGGACTTGACTCAAGCATCTCAAATGGATTTCCTTGAATAAAGATACTACACACATGGGACTACATTTCACTACTGGAGAGAGGGTACACTTGATGTTGTCCCTTGCAGGACAACAAATTTAGGTATGTCTATATGCTGAGCCTGCTGAGTCCTCTCAGCAAAGCACTGAACATGTTACCTCGTCTTAGAGATATCCCCAAAACAACCCAATCCAAAAAAAATAAGAACATACAGTGGTATGTATCATGTATCATGGTATTTTAAGAAGAAAATAATGTCTGAAGTTTACACATTTTACCTTGGGTAGGGGACTGCCGCTGTTGTTTCCGAACGATAAAAAGAATGGGTTCTTGAGCATGTAAAAGAATGTATTCCACTCCAACCATCTGACTGAAAACAGAAAACAAACATCCAGATTTATAAAATGCCTACAATTTTGTAGAACACACAAGTTGTTAAACAAAAATAGAGCAAAAATTTAAATAGGATTGGAACTACCTATGTTTGATGCAAAAAAATGGTTGTTCAATAAAACTGGCTATTTTCCTAGTTAGGCAGAATACAGAGAAAGATTTGGTTTTTAAACAGAATTTCTCTACAAAAACTCAAGATAACCTTAATTCTGAGTTCATGACTGAAATGAAGAGCATACATTACAAAATGGCAACCAAAATACTATGCTTCCTAAGATCTACAAATATATTTAAAACATACAAATATACATGAAGACTACCCATCCTGACTCTACATCTCAACTATATATTTTACCCGACTAGAAAACATCAAAAATATTATCCTAGACCCAACAAACTTTTTAATCTGACAGACTGCTTAAAAGTATCAACTTGTCTTAATAGTCGTAAATATTTGCCTCGTAACAAAAACTATTTAAAATACTAGAAAATTTTAATTTCATAAGCTTCCCTAATGTTCAGCTGCAAATGACCAGATGAAAAATTATATGGTTGTTTCAGAAACTTTTGTAATTGTAATAAATTCTTAATTATTTGGTATCCTAAATTTAAAGAAATCTGCTTCACATTTGTTTAGCTAAAATTTCATTTCTCATATAAAGAAAAATCTACTATAAATCAGACTATGCTTTTAAGATATTAAATTAGATGCAGAAAAGACAATACGTATGGTTATCTTGTTGAGGACAATAGTTGAACTATTAAAATCACTCATTAGATCTACATCTATATTTTAATTGAATGATGCTATAAGAAATTTTGCAGAAAAACTTCCTAGGATATAAGTGACGCTATCTGTCTCTCAACAGCCACAAAGGACTGGATTCCAAGACTCCCACAGGCACCAAAATCCATGGATGCTCAAGTTCCTTATAAGAAATCATATAGTATTTACAAAAAACCCACACTCATCCTTCTGTAGACTCTAAATCATTTGCAATTACTTATAATACCTAAAAGAAGTTAAATGCTATATAGTTGTTATACTATATATTTTCAGAAAATAACAATAAGAAAATAGTCTATACATGTACAGACACAACCATCATAGGCTTAACTCCATAGCACAGCTGACCCTTGAACAAGGGTTTGAACTGCATGGGTCCACTTCCAGGTGGACCTATATCCCATATCCATGGATTGTGCAATCCATGGACTCAAGCAACCATTGGTGTCCACTGTTTGAATCCATGAATGCAGAACTGGTAGACACAAAAGGCTGACTGTATTAATAATTGTTCTGTACGTCAAACTTGCATAAACTGAAAACTATTTCTTCCAAAATTTTCTATCTTGTACTTCTTGATTAATTCATTCACACAGTTGAAAAGTACCATTCACTGCAAAATCTCTACTTGGGCAAAGAGGCTTCATTCTCACAATAACTTACTTTAAGTGTTCTAATGTTAACCTCTGCATTTTGACCACTTCATTATTGCATGTCCTGTCATAAAAAGGATTACTTCTTTCTGAAAAGTAATCCAGGACACTTCCACTGTTCAAAATAGGAATCCAGGAACTGTCAACCCAAGAGATTCCCAGCAGATTATCTATAAAAAAGAAACAAAATGATAAAGTATGACAAAATAGAACAAAATCGAATTCAACAGACTTTTACTAAGTATCTATGTAGTAAGGCACTATGATAATAAGGATAACATGGATCTTAACCTACAATATTCTTACAGTCTAACATGATAAAGAAAGCAGAGACAACACTACACTATAACAAATGTTTAAACAAATGTGTTATTATAGCACAGCTGAGTAGAATACTTTACCTGTAGGTGAATACTTTACCTGTAGGTACAGGAGGAGATGGATTTCAACATTGTACATTAAAAAGTAAATAGAGGTTAACCATAGAGAAAAGTGGCAAAGTAATTCTAAGTAGAAAAAATATATATGCAAAGATAAGAAAACATAATAGTATAGTATGTTTAGGGAGTAATATGATTAGGTGAAGAAAGCAGTCATATTGCTTCACATTTTAAAGCAGGATTAAATCTCAAATTTTTCAAAATACAAAAGAAAAAAAATAGGGTAAGCAGAGCTAGATACCATTAAGTAATAAGCTTTTATTGGTTAGACTATTGGCTACAATGTTTCACACTAATGGCTATACTAAATCCCACTAGGTCTGACACAATCACCAAAATGCTTATGCAAAATGTTCAAAGGAGGGCCCCGTGGCACAGCAGGTTGAGCGCTGTGCTGTGCTTGAGCGCTGTGCTGTGAAGCTGTCTGTAGCCTCTGCATTGAGGGTTCGATTCCCAGCTGGCCAGGGAGATTCCCACACAGCGTGGCAGACCTCTCCTGCCTCTCCCGCTGCTCCCCTCAGCAGTGTCTTCAGCCCATCTGGCTGTTCTGCTCCCCGCTCTGTCTCTGGTGAATTCTCTCACCCTCCTGTGCCTCTGACTGTACCCCAGTTCTTGTATAAATAAATCTTTAAAAAAAAAGTTCAAAGGAAAAAGAACTGAAAACTTCAACCTCTCCTATACTGCAATCTCTTCTGGCATTTTTCAAAAAAGTCAGACCTAATCCAATCTGACAAGCAGTTCTGAGCAAAATTAATCAAATGAGATAAAACATGCTACATGCATTATAAAAGAGGAAACTGATGAAGTATGTTAATGACCAAATCAGTCCAGACCATAAGATATTCATCACAAATACGTCCTGTCATAATGAAATATATAAGAAACCAGGAAATTAACATTTTCAGGAAAAACCAGATTTTCTAATGAAAAATAAGGATAATCATTTTCAGTTTTAAACACTACAGTTACTAGCTTTGTTTAAAGCAATGTTTACACACTTCTTATTTCCTTAGGAATGACTATTTAGGAGGACTTGCAGAAAGGCAATTTTTGGTTTATTTCTCACTTAAATAGCAGAAACTAACACTTACAGATCATTTCAGCATAGACAAAGGAACAACCTGAAGAGACTACTAATTAGCCAATAAATGTGGACATGAGGTGACTAGGAACTGGTAGAAAGTAATGCCAATGCACAAGAAGAAAAGGACAGAAGGGATATTTTTAGGAGGAAAAAGAAATAATTTCCTGAATGACCAATTATAAAGTCTGCAAAACTCTATAAACAATAACTCATTTAGGGAAGCAGTAATAGTAGACTTGGCTTGGATACACTGAATTTAATATGGAATCAAATTCTTAGAATTAGGAATTGTAAGTCTCATCTGCCCCAAACAAGAAAGCATATTGACAATTAGCAAATATCTGACAAGTTAATTTCCCATATCTTAGTTTTCTAATCTATTTGAAATAGTATTTATGTGCTACCTTACATAGGCAAAATGCTCAGTATTTTGTAATAATTCAACAAATGCTAATTGTGATTACAGTAGGCCTGTAGCAAATTTACTTTAAGAGCATAATGAATAAACTGATTTCTGTCTTAATCGCAGCTAATCTAGTTTGTGACTCTTTTTTCCTGTTTGCTTTTTTTTAAAAAGAGATCCCTTTCATTCTCAAAAGAGTATGATTTTAGCAGATAATTTAAATGGTCATGTTAGGATAAATTCATTTCAAATGTCACTATCTGTACAAAGTCATTCTCTACTTCGCAAGACAAAAATAATGACTTCTTTATGTTCTCATAGACGTTTTTATACACTTTTATTACATGGTATCATAACCCAGAAATACAAATGTGTTCCCATTAAATTCTGAGTCTTTAGAGAACTGGGACTGTGTTTTACTCATCAGAAACTACCATAGAACTGATTGCAATACTCAGCAAATGTTTATAAATGCATATTATTAATGCATAATTGAAGGCCAAGGAAAGTACAGTGTCATTTACTCTACTGGTCAAATGAGGGTGAAAAAAATCTATGTTAAGTTTCATACAGAGGGGAGAAGCAGGTGGGGAGCAATGCATGGTATGTCCATGGACTTTGGCAGAGGACTATGGGTGCACCGGTGGTGGGTCTAGTAAGATACAATGAAGAAGTGTGTGCCTATATCTCTGACACATACATGCTGCTGAACACCAATGTTACCTCAATGAAAAATAATACAATTTTAAAACATGAAAGTCAAAAACAAAACAAAGTTTCATGCAGGTCAGGTCAGATAACAGAGTGAAGATGCTGGGTTCACCTCCTCCACAAATTCACAACTAAGTACAAGAGAGCAAAGCTGACACCACTGAAAGAGAAAAGGACAACTACCACATATATCAGGAGCAATGGTATGATGGAAAAGGGCAGGAAAAACCTTAACTAAACTGTGTTTAGGGCCTCCCCGGTGGCGCAGCGGTTGAACGCTGGGTTGCGAAGCTGCCCGCAGCCTCTGCAGCGCCGGTTCGATCCCAGGCTGCTCCCCGGCCACCGGAGGAGGGTCCCGCATGGCGCGCAGACCTCTCCTGCCGCCCGCTGCTCCCCTCAGCAGTGTACCTCGGTCCTTCTGCCTGCTCTGCTCCCCGCTCTGGTGAATTCTCTCACCCTCCCACGCTTCTGACTATACCCAGTGCTTGTATAAATAAATAAATGTTTAAAAAATAAAATAAAATAAATGGGCCTTCTTTAAAAAAAAATAAATAAAATAAACTGTGTTTAGTGTTGCATTGATACTGTGCAGCACAACCCACGAAAGGGAGGGGCGGCAAGGTATGGGACCCTTCTGCTATTGTTAACTCAGGGGCACTCCACACCAGACTTTGGAGACCCATCATGCAGGACAGAGGATGCACCACAAGAAAACAATCGGAGTAAGGATGCAGTGATTGATTTCAGCCTGGTCTAGAATAAGCTGGAGCCTGAACCTGCAAGGGGAGCCCAATCAGATCACCTGTTGTCTCCCATAGAAGAGATTATTTGCAGCCTGACGCTACAATATTCAAAACATCTGCCTTATCACCACCCTAGACAACCAGGCCAAAACCTAGGCAACAACTGAAAGGTGTTGCTACAGAGTTTAAGCACCTGGACCTTAATAACAGGAGCAAGAGCCCCAAGGTAAAGCTCCAAACAGGAAAAGAGAACAATTTCAGACATGTGGCCCAGTCTCAGCTGTAGCTACAACCCCATGCTACATCTAGTGTTCAACCTACAGTCTAGAGGTTGAAGCAGGCAAGTGTCTATAGGAGATATTATGGCCAAGAAATTGGCCTACGGAAGGGGATCTCTATGGAGCCCATAGTACAATAGGAAGTTTGAAACTGTTGATGCTCACTGGTGCTCACCTGATGCACCTTTTGGTGCCCTACTACAGATAAGCCATTACAGCACCAGTGCCCTGGTCACATGAACAGGTGCAAAGGCAGTAATCTACGAAATACAGATACCTAAAAATCTGGGTAAACAACGTAGGATTACATACAGCTTATTGCAGGAGGGTATAAAACACAAAATATTATGAAAAAATCCCTATTATAACCATAAAAACTAAAAATGAAGTGACAACATATCACAAATACTCAAGGTGAAAAAATCCTGAAAGAAGTTTCAACGCAGCAAAACTTAAAAATATGCCAGAAAAGAAGTTTAAAAGTTCATAATCACTTTTAATAATGAAGTGCTGGTCAAAAC